AAATTTAAGTTGACTTAAAAGCTAATAAGTAGGAAACTTAATATGCTCCCAATTCAGCTTTATAAATGGAAATTTAGACCCCGATCCTACAATTTGTTTTGTGCAGGCTCCATGTGGGTTCAGGGATCCACCTGTTCACAACAAGTTGCAGGATTAAGGTCATAAATATGTAGGGGCCAGATTTTCAAAGATATTCAGGTGCCTAAAAATGTAGATAGGTACCTAGTAGGATTTACAAAAAAACTCTAATAAGTAAGTTAGGTACCTTACTCCCGTTGAAATTAATTTAATTGCCTAAAATACCTTTGACAATCTTGCTCTAGGTGTCTTGCAAAGATTTGATTAGCAGGACAAGTGTATGTTACAAAGGAAAAAACAGGCTATTTTAAATAACCTGCTATGTACTCTGCAGCCACTTTAAATACATTTTCATAGGAGTTTAGAACATTTTGCAACAGGTAAAGACCAACAGCAAATGCAGTATACCAGATTAGTTGGAAATTTTAGTATGGAAATTCCTAGATTCGGTACTATTGGCTAACCTTCTAGCCAATTGGCCCCAGTCTTCGCTATGTGAGTACATGAAGGTTAGAAATATATATAATTACTCGGTGGGGAAAAAATCTCAATAATGGCCAAAGGGACAGGGATAAAACAGTTTCATACAAGTTATGGTACTAATCTACAATTTATTGATTAAATAAATGCATGTGTTTTTAACAAATAAAATATTCCATTTTAAAAAGTAAAAAGAATATATGCAAAATTAAATTATTGCAAAAATAATGTAAATACAAAGTTTTTAAAATATGATTATTTTATTTTATTTTGTAGGTTACAACAGAATTCAAGATACGTCAAGAAGTAATAGCAAAAACACCCTGGATACATTTGATGAAATGGACTATTTGCTAGAAACCACTGTTTAGTTACATGGTACTTGATATTTGTTTGTTTAAGAAGGTTAAGAAAATGAACAGTGGATACTGAAATCCTACATTTATATACTGGACAGTTGCAAGCAGTCAGGGAACAAATTTTCTTTGATAATCCAATGACTTCAACCCACATATCAAGAGAGAGAAGCCAAAGGAAAAGGGACTATTGCATTTAGCTCTGTTTGAGAATCATAGAACTGGAAGGTTTCAGAGTAGCAGCTGTGTTAGTCTGTATCTGCAAAAAGAACAGGAATACTTGTGGCACCTTAGAGACTAACAAATTTATTTGAGCATAAGCTTTCGTGGGCTACAGCCCACTTCATCGGATGCATAGAATGGAACACACAGAAAGAAGATATTTATATATACAGAGAACATGAAAAGGTGGACGTAGCCTTGTCAACTGTAAGAAGCCAATCAATTGAGATGAGCTATCATCAGCAGGAGAAAAAATTTTTTTGAAGTGATAATCGAGATGACCCATAGAAGGTGTGAGGAGAACTTAACATGGGGAAATAGATTCAATTAGTGTAATGACCCAACCATTCCCAGTCTCTGTTTAAACCTAAGTTAATTGTATCTAATTTGCATATTAATTCAAGTTCAGCAGTCTGGAAGGGACCTTGAGAGGTCATCTAGTCCAGTCCCCTGCACTCAAGGCAGGACTAAGCATTATACTGAGCCTTTTGAACAAAATCCCTGGTGTCAAAGTTTGTGTGATGGTGTTTAAACAAAGTTCTTTACTTTCTATTGGTTAAACAAATCAAACAAATGTAATATACAATATTTTTTCCTTTTGGAGAAATTATTCCAATCTCTTTGATGTCCATTACTGTATTTTCTATACTGATCTCTCTAATCCATGAGAAATCATTTTGTGTACTGAGAATAGTTATATTTTGAAAATATGAAAAAAAGACATTTCAGCTTTGAAGTAGAACCACAATATGAAGTATGTAATTTTGAAAGTTCTGGATATAGTGGTGTTTTCATTTTGGCTACCAGTGTTATTATCATGGACCTCATTCTACAGTGTGGTGAGCCTTCTGTGAAAAGATGAACTCCTTCAACTTTCACTGACCTATCAGGATCTGTTTTCTGGTCTATAATGCTCAGGGTAATTTTATATGTCTAGTTCTTTTTCCTCGTTTGTATGTATACATTCCCTTTCATAAGAGCAATAGATCACTAAAATTAATTCATTTAAGAGGGATCATTGTTTGGGTTGATTTAAATCACTGGGTCTTTGGCCTTTTGCTATTACCACTTGAAAATCCACTTCTTGTCATGTTTTACTGCTTAAACAGAATACTTGTTACCTATTGAGTGTTGTTCTTGGGTTTAAATTAATGCCCAATCCCTGCTACTTTGGGGAGATTAGCAGTAAATATTTATCTGTGAAGAAATTATTTAAAAAAAATCAGTTGAATGCACTGTAATTGTGAACCATTAAGCTTTTCTGAATTCAAAGTACTGTATGTTGCACTTTCTGTAGCACTTTTTATTTGATCAGTCCTCAAGACATGTAACTTTGAATGGTTTGTTTTTTTATTTTATGTACGTGTGTGTATATAAAAATAAATATTTTTGCTCTATGTATGTTCAATATTTGTTAATGTATTCCTGTAGAATGTGCCTTAGTCTTCATGGATTCTGATCTAATATTTTCATTGTTAATTTCTATTTTGAGGAGACTATTCAGAAAAGATATAGCCAAGTCTGTGTTTGTGTGGTAGAAAGAGATGCATTAGATCCTTACAATTGCATCAGTTATCTCCACAGTGGGTCAGCTGATCCACAAGACTAATGTTTTAATGCAAAAGGACATAAAGAAACTACACAGCAGGGAGCAGGGTGCAGAGCTAGTTGGGATGGTAAATGTGGTTGTCATTAATTGGCTTTCTATAGATCCTGTATCCTCGGTCTCTTACTATGCACAGCCCCTGTAGAGATGTCAAGCAGAACTGAAACAGACTCCACAATGTTGAAATCTTAGAAAACAAAGCTTACTTTTATTGGAGGAGATTCATGGGTGGTGTCAACGTGATGACTGAACCCTGTTTGGCCTAGTAGCACATGTGAGTAAGAAATCAGAGTCTTATGGGAATATTTCTTCAGTGCTAATAGCTTTTTTGGAAATTGTCAGCCAAGAATATTGCAGTAGGGCCACATGTTTGCCTTTTGGTTAATTCACCTATGCCTGTCAGTTACCTGGGAAAACACTCCTCTTCATATATAGAACTGAGAAGACACAGCACATACACGGAACCTTACTCTGGTCATCTTGTGTGGTTGCTTCTAGTAGTTTTCCAATCAGGATACACTTATGCCATCGTGGCCAAAGAGCCTAGCTAAACCACGCAGTACCAGATGGTTTCTGTGCAGTAGGATTGCAAGGACCTTGACCATAATGAATAATAGGTAGAGAAGGCTAAATTCTATACTTTTGATATACAGTAATATTTATTTAAAATTAAAGAAATAAAGCAGATAATTTAATAAACATGTATTTTTCTCCTGTATTTATTATTGCCTTAACACTGCAATTGAAACACAAAGCAAGGATAAAGAATATTGGTTGGGAGTGAGGGAGAAGAAATACATCACTTCTAAAAGGAAAAGGAAGGTGCAATAGTTTTCTGGCCCATTAAAGAATTGTTTTTGGCTATCTAAATAATGACATGGGTTGTAGCTGCTGAGGCATATGGGTATTGTATAATAGCCTTACCACATAAATTAGTTAATTTATGAGGGATTAAATCTAGTGAGAAATACAATATATTTTAAATTAAAACATTCTAAATCATCAATCTTTCTATTTACTGTATTATAGCAAGCACTCAGAACAGAAAAAAATGATTATATGCATCTCTCAAACTCACCAACTCTCACTTTTTTCAGTAGTCCCTTTCCTTTTTTAATTCAGCACCAGTAAGGTGTGGAAGAGACGGTATAAAACACCCAGGTATAATTTTTTTGTTCAATTCAAACAGTGGTTGGAGTTGTAAAGATTTAGGAAAATATTTTTGGTTAGCAAGTTATCAAGCCTAGAATAACATAAAAATCTATAGAAAATTTAAATATGAGAATACTGAACAGCAACCAGATTTTCCTGTGCAATCATATTTGCATCTTATTGTTATCACTAATATTTTTCTGATACTGATTTTTGAGGAAGATTGCTAATATCAGAACCCTTTGCTTTTTCATTGTAATTAACAGAACCTTCAACTTGTTACTGCAGAGGGAACAGGAGTACTTGTGGCACCTTAGAGACTAACAAATTTATTAGAGCATAAGCTTTCGTGGGCTACAACCCACTTCTTTGGATGCATATGAGGGTTTGCAGAGGTTTTTTTAAAATAATGCACATGGTTTTTAATGCTTTCTCAGCTGACTGATGCCAATATGACAAAATAAATATTTAGAGAGTTAATTCATATCCCCCATTCTTTCTGTCTCTGTGATACACAGGCTTGGTTCCTACAAATACAGAATCACTAAATTACAGTTTCAGCAGCCTGGTAAGCTCCACATGGAATCCTTTTAATGTTCTTTTTCATATATCCGAGATAGAATTTATGACTCCTCCTTCATCAAAAAACGTATGTCAATGAGTTCACAACTTGGAAATGGTTTATGCAGTGAAATGAAAAACTCTCTCTAAACATGACTCATATTTTTCAATTGGCTCCAGTGGAAGTAAGTTGCTGATGCTTTCACTGATCTTATTAACGAATGATTTTACAACACGTTTCTAATACATTTGTGAGGTTAATTATGTATCCAGATTGGATGTGGCAATTCTATAACATATGGGCCTGTTTTTGCATTCTATATCTATCTATCTATATTAATTTTGAAATAACAGGAGTTCTGGGATGCAAGAACTGCGAGATCATACACTATGCCAAACATTTTATTTGAAATTGCTCCATGTAATGACCGCCCTGCACCTTTAAGCAGGGTTTTATTGACTGGTCTGGCGAGTGAAGGGAACAGTGCTTTATGGCTGGCTGGAGGGGAGGTGAAAACTGCTGCAAAAGGGGCAGCGTGGTCGCTGACATCCCCTGGGAATGCAGGGTTTGAAAAGGAGCAGCACGGTGCCGGGAGCCTTCCTTTTTACACAGACCCAGGCTGCGGCAGGAGGGCTCCAGTGTTCAGCTCTACTCGGCTCCACATGGAAGCGAAGCAGGGCGGTGAGCAGGCCAAACCCTTCCCCCCACTTCGCTTCCAGGATAAAGGCAGGAACTAGCAGCAAGTAGGAGTGCTCCGGACTACAGTTAGCTCGGTTCCACCCACGTGGAAGCAGAGCAGGGAGGAGGGAGAAAGCCCTCCTCCCACTTCAGTCCCGGAATAGGGAAGCAGGCCCTTGTCCCAGCATGGCTCCTGGCAGACCCAGAACAATGAGAGCGGGAAGGAACAGGGGGACGATTAGTTCTCCATTTCCCCTGGTTCAGGCGGGGCGAGGCAGGCATAGCAGAGTGAATTCACAAAGGGAGGTGCAGTTGAGTAGCAAAGCAGCTCGGAGCCAGATTCTGTCCCTCGGTATACAGATGAGTAGAGGGAGTGGGAGTGCGGCCCCCTCTCATAGCAGCTGTGCGGTGCACAGAGGTTTAGGGAACAGGGTTTCTGTTTTACCTGCTGTGGGCAGGAGACAGCAGGGGGGTGGAATTTTGCTTCTCCCTCCCAGTTAGTGTCATGGGACAGGGAACTGGGGAGGAATCAAACCCGGGACAGGGCGGACGGAGTGCAGTTATTTGGGCCGGGTGAGCCAAGGGCAGGATCCTTGCAACAAGAGCGAGGGGCTGGGGGAGCCTGGGATAGTGCTTTTCATTACCAAGGGCAGCCTATCAGGCTTGGGCAAGGGTCTCAAGGTGAGGCACTCTTCCAGGAAAGTGAGCTGGCTGCGTTTGATGATGGGACAGTCAGCTGGGATTTGATACAAGTAATCAGGGTTATTGTGTCTGAGGTTGTTTCCACAGCTTTGCAGGCCGTACAAGGTGTAATGGTTCGCCCAGATCTAGGACATTCCACTCAAGTGATTGCAGGAGACAAGGCAGACACTGAGGACGGGGTGAGTTAAATGAGGATCCCATACCAAAATGATGTGGCAAAGGTGGGGATTGCGGGCACTAGTGGTTCCTCTGAGGCTTTACCCCCCAAAAAACAACAACAAAACCCATGATGGGGTATCACATGGGCCAGCCAGAAACTGTCTCAGTTGCCCCTGGACTCCCACCCCCATAAGCAGAGCCAGGGTATTGCACGGCTGATACAGGCTAACTGTAAGTTCCTCAAACATGGGGACAGCATGGGAGAGGTGTCTTGCTAAGGCTGCATTCCTTAGCTATGCTTGTGTTACAGCTGAAGCTTACCCAGAGAGAAGCCCGGCTTTGTTAGATACATAAATATAATCGGGCGGGCATGCAATACATTCAATGGCATACATCTAATCACAGCAGTTGCTGTTACAGCACTGGGTGGGCATGCAATACATTCCCGGGCATACATTTCTTTATAGCAGTGGGTTTTTGCAGGATCTGTACCTTCAGGCATGCATGCAAAACATGTTTTGGGTCTCATACAGCACATTCCTGCCACAATGGTGAGGGGAGGTATAGGACGCAGGGTAGAACAAATGCCACCTGCAGGTAGGCCCTGTTTGAACAGGGCGTGGGTGACAGAAGGCAGGCCGGTGCAAGGGGCCAGCTTCAAGCATTGGAATGGGCTAAGGCCTCCTGTGGGACTACCCCAGCAAAGCCAATGGGTCAAATCTATGTGCTGGGTTTTTTAATGGGGGTTCTTATCCCCTTTATATAAAATAATAATGATTAAAGTCAAGGGTGGGGTTTGGCCATTTTAAGGCAATAATTCCACAAGAATGAATTCGGAGTACAGTGGCAGGCAGGGCCATCCAGCCAATTTCCTGTGGATAACTTGTGGGTTTCCCCCAAGACTAGTTTCAAGCAGCAATGGAATGAGCTATGGCCTCCAGTGCGACTACCCCAGCAAGGCTGTTGGGTCAGTTTTGTGGGCTGGGTTTACTGTGGGTTCTTATCCCCTTTGTGTTTTGCCCCGAGGCTTGGCCCCCGGAAAGGCTCCAGGGAATTACATTGTTTCATAACCTCTCTGGGGTTGACAATGGCATAGCACACGCCTTGTCTCATTTTCAGGTCCACAGATTTCTGGAGTTGGTACCAGGAGCCAGCCGGGAACCCAGGCAGATGCCACTAGCGCTATGGAACCTTGGCGTAGAATGGTTGTCAGCGTGGTGTGGAGATCAGTTGCTCCATGCACGTGGCAGGGTTGTGAGAGAAGTTTTAATGATTTCATGCAATTTCAGGATTAGGAAGGCCGGTCAGCGATATGGCCCATTACAGAAGAACAGGTGCTGCGGTACATGCTGTCATTGGCAAACCGTCAACTGGCATTCTCCACAATCTTGAATCGCCTTTCTGCCATTACATTCGTCAGTAGGCTAAATGGTTATCCTGATCTTTGCAGTGGTTTTTTAGTTGGAAGGTTTTTGGCTCATGGACAGGAGTCGGCCTTGTTCAGGGCTGCATTCTTGACAGCAGTTTTTGGTGCTTTCAGGATCAGTGAGCTAGTATCTGGGTCTGGTAGGAAGGGCTTTGCAACTGCGGGATATACAACGGCAGGAGCATTCAATAATATTACACTTGCGACGGTCAAAGACAGATCAAGTTGGCCAGGGTGAATCTGTGATCCTCTGGCAGGGTGGTGAGCCTGGAGTCTGCCCAGTTCGGGCTTTGAAGGCCTACTGGGTTATACAGCCAAAGGGGAAAGGCCCCTTTTTATGCATGGTGATGGGAGTCCCCTCATAGCATATCAATTTGTTACTGGGTTGAGATGGGGGCTGATGAGGTGGTTCCCACTCATTCAGAATCGGGGCGGCAACGGCAGCAGCACAGATAGGTATGGGAGCAGAGGCAATCTAGGCAATCGGGCGTTGGCATTCGGATGCGTACCGAACGTATGTAAGACCTCAGGCGGTAAGTCAGCATTAATTTGTCGTAATCTCATTACAGATATTGGACGACCAGCCATGCAGACGGTGGTGTGGGTCTGCAGGCAGAGTATTGTCTTTTGTGCCCATAGTCACGTGTCCAGGGTTGCCTGAGGGTTCACAGCTGGGCTTTGGTGATGAGGCGATACTCAGTTGGCATGCAAGGAGGGGCAAGTTATGGGATCAACTAATACGGATGCTATATGATGTGCGGGCCCGTCAGCAGCCCCCGGATATAATGTGGTGCATTTTGGGGAAAACGATTTGGGAATGCTTAAAGGGGTGGAACTAATGCTCAGAGCAAGAAGGGACTTGGGGGCTGATCCTTGAACTTTTTCCAGGAGTTAATATGATTTGGTCAGACGTGCTTCAGGGTCTGTCGGGGAGCTGTGAGCCCCCTCAGGATGGACAAGGCAAGGAGGTATGTGAACAGGGAGGTGGCCAAATTCCTTGGGACTAGAGGAAAGACTGATTTCACATCCTGGCATAGTATATGGGGCAGCAGAGTTGTTTTGGGAGCATGGGGTTCACCTGTCCGACTTAGGTGCTGTCATGTTTTTAACTGGTATAAAATATGGCATTAGGAGATGTGTGGGGAGGAGGCAGCCAAGCTAATTGCTGGTGTCTCCTTGTGGCAGATGTCCAGTGCAGGTACTCCATAGGAAAGGAATACAGCGATCAGATAAATGGCTTGGAAAAAGACTTAAAAAGAGGTGTTCATTAAAGGTTGGGGACTCCTATGATTGGTATGTCAGGGAGCCAACCCCCCATTCTTATAGCTAACCTTAACCCTCCTAGGAGGTGGGGGTGGATGGTAAGGTCCTGGCAATGGATTTGCTGGAGGGAATGGGTATAAAAAAGAGAGGGAGCTGGTGGAAACCTCTCACCCCAGGTATGGTAAGGTCCAGGCAATGGATTTGCTAGAGGGACATGGATGGAAAAAGAGGGGGAGCTGGTAAAAGCCCCCCAGGTAATTATGGAATAAACATGGGGTTACCTGCAGTGTACACAGTTATCTGCCAGGTAGTCCCAAACATCTAATAAAATTGCGGCCTGATTAAACCAATGTCAGATGTCTCCTGTCCTTCTTTTGGCATAACCAGAAAACATGTAGATGTAACTGAAAAACTTTGCAATTTCAGAACGCTTTATATTTTCATTGCTGCAGAAATTTTATCAAATTTTCATCAAAAATTCTTACACTTTCCACAAATACTGACCATGAAGTATAATATTGTACCAGTAAATTCCTGGGCACATAACATTTAATTTCAACATATGCCATTAACTCAACAAAATCAATTTTTGATTTATTTGTCTTTAACATTAACTAGATAATACTTTAAGCGTACCTGGTTTCCATTTTATTTTATTCAGAGTAACTTTCTTACTCAAATTGAAAACGTTTCCTAACACAGTGTGCATTTTTTCAGTAATGTAGACTTCAGGTTGCACAATTCTGAATAACATTTGGGAAAGATTTAAAATTTGAATGTAGGAAAATCTTTAGATAAAAGTTTATAACACATTGATCAATAATTTGGTATATTATGTAGACAGAATTTTGCAGAATGCATTAAATAATTAGCTATATAAACTAGTAATATTTATTTTTAGTATCTGCAATAAACTGTTGAACATGACTAAAAATAATACTTTGCATTTCAAAAGTGCTTCTCATCTTCAAAGTGCTTAGCAAAATTAATTAATACACAATTTTAAATTAAGGATTAATTTCTGCATTGATTTATGGTCCATAAATCCCCACTGACTTCACCTGGATTACATGGAGTAGAAATCAGCAATGAATTTGGCCGTATGTCTAAAAAAGTTTTATAATCTTTCACAAATGTCCTAGTTCTAAGACAAAGAGGATCTGATACCTTTTGCAGTAAGTTTTACTTTGACTGTTTTTACAAAAGCTTGTTTCTTTTCATAATATGCAGCCTCATTCACAAATGTTGGGTATACTGTAGAATCCCCTTCATAATTAATGGTCTCTCCATCAATAGTTAAAAATATAGGCTCCCCATTGTTCAGTGGTTGCCAGTCTTGATCCTTATAGGAGATTAGATTATGTTAGAAAATATATTATATTTTCACTTTAATATTTTTGACAACTTTCATATAAGATTCTTAAGTTTATTATGCATAGTTATACTACTCTGTACAGTTTATGGCCAAAACTTTCAAAGCTCCACTGATTTGGGACCTTAGGCATCTTGGGCCTGATTTTTAAAAGTGCTGAGCACTCACTATTCCAGTTGAAATAAATGGGAACTGTGAATGCTCAGCAACTCTGAAAATTAGGCCCAAGGTTTCTCAAAGGTTTGGCTCCCAAAATTGGAAGTACCTGTTGAGAATGAAAGTATACCATACTTTTCCTTGAATTTTTGTTCAAAACTGAGTTTAGAACTTCCCAATCAATTACTGAAATACTGTAAACCATTAGTTATAAAACTTATATGAATGGTTCTGAAACACTCAATCTCTCCACTGTTGGGTTTGACATAATAGTAAATATCTTATTTGATGATATACCATATACTATACTATAAACCAAACATCAAATGGAATACCTATACAAATGTTGTAAATGAAGAATGATAGATTTTACCTGCAGGCTAGGGTGAATAACAGCAGTAATTTCACCATTTTTATTCCTGGGATAATCTACTTTTTCCATTATTTTGTAAATTTCAATTGTACATGGTGGAAATTCCTTTCCTAGAAAGGATAAATATATTTTTAAATGTCATGTCAGCAAATTCCCAGTTAAATAATACACCTAACTTACTATTTTATTTAGAATGACTGAAGTCATTAATTTGTATCTGTTCATAGTTTATCAGTTAGTAATTAACTCAAGTAATATGAATATGTCTAGCTCCAGATTTCCTATCCCATGAAGGTCAGGTTGCTGAAAGACGACCCAGTTGCTTAGCGTTGCATAACAATCTGGATCTAAATTTGAACAGTATTGTTGAAATCAGGGATCTCAATCACTGCATACACAGTAATAAATTCATTTTGTAGATAAGGAATTC